TACATTGTGCTGCAGAAGTATGCACTCACAGGAATGAGTGAGTCAGCTCATCTCATTGAGTGGATAAAAATGTCTCAGAAAGTGAAGCACTTGTTTGAGGCAGTGTGTGTCATCGTGACTCACTTTGGCCCGACATAAGAGCGTATCAGTGCTACGTCCGCTCTCTGCTCGTGCTCTGAGTAAGAAAGTGTGTCACCATATGAAAAACATGGCCCATAGATTTTTCTTGGTGTATAGTTAGTTTGCATGGATACGTCCAAGTCCACGCTATTCCGTCGCCTTCAAATCATCGATGATACCTTGAGGTATCATCGAGGTATCATCGAGGTATCATCGAGGTATCATCGAGGTATCATCGAGGTATCATCGAGGTATCATCGAGGTATCATCGACGTATCATCGAGGTATCATCGACGTATCATCGAGGTATCATCGAGGTATCATCGAGGTATCATCGAGGTATCATCAGGATGCTTGGATCCAATCCCCGGCATGGGGCGATGATGGCGCATCATAAAACTGTGATCAATGTTACAAGCTACAAAATACTTCTGTACAGTTTACTGAGAAAGTTATATGTACTCGTGCGAAAGTGACGAAAGTCATCTTCAGTTACTTTGCACACTTATTAACTCTTGAAATTGGTTAATGCTTTGTTAGTGCTACAACTGTTAGCCTAGCAAATTCAGGATGTCCTCTGTATTTTTTGACTTAAATCAATCAAACCAGGAATCATTGCCCTATGGGTTCGATAATTACGTGACGCAAATCTTCGCATCAACTGCGATAGAAAAAAAATTGGCATTTGATTTTAGAAAAGTTTTTGACCAAACTTGATAGTTTGGCGGTACGGCATGCATACAAGATTTGTTTCCTAACATTCAGCTGATATTTATGTATGATAATATTGCAGATCATCGCGAAATAAAATTCATATTAAAATTCTTGCACAATAATTAGTGTATGTCGGGGCAGCGGTTATCTTATCAGGCGGCAATCTTCTTTGATGATACAGTACAAGAGCTCGTCCCACGCCACGACAGATACATCAGTATTTTAATTACATGGGAAAAGTAGAGTAGAATATGCCTTATAAAGTGTAGAAATAATTTATTATAAGACCATACACTTTATACATGTCAACATGCTTCACTTTATAGTTCAAATGTTTGAACTTGTGGTTGTAATACCTATACTACCCAGGGGCCAAACTTTCAAAATTTGCGCAGTGAACGTAAGTACTTATACGCTCTATTTTCTTGTCTATGATTAATGGATTTTGCTTGAAAGGCCGTCAACGATTGGCTGATGAAGTTACGATCTCTTAACTTTTTTTGAAAGTATAGGCCCAGGTGTCGAAAACCTGTCCCGAATATGACGAACATTTAACATGCGGAAGTGCACGCATGCGCGCCTATTTATTTTCTCGCACGTATATACAGTCATGCACGAAGATATTCAATAATTCACTTGGTATTTAATCATTACTGAAGGCATTGTATCATCTATGCTCTTATGCAATCACTCACATACTTTACTCCATTTTACATCTTAAAATTCAACGATCAATGAACTTATTAGTAGCTATGTCTTCATTACAAAACTCTTAATTCGAATCAAGAGGTATTGTACCTATAACAACAAACTTCAATATTTTGTCGACAAAGTACAATAAACTATTTTCATATAACTATTTTGACGGCGGAATAACGCGTTTTTGGTCCGGGCGATTTAAACTTTCCCATACCAGGAATAATCTGCACTTGCAGGCTCTAACCGTCTATAACCTACAGTTGTAGGTCCTAACCGTCTATAACCTACAGTTGTAGGTCCTAAAGGGGTATGGGGGATGTGGGTGATGAATGGTGAGTGATGTAGAATAATGAAGGATATATAGGGATGTTGTGGCATGAATGGATGGATATTGATTTTCATGAGAGCGATACTGATGGATACACTCATGGCTACACTCACGGCTACACTCATACCACACGTCGGGTCAGTTGACTCACCCTGTGCCCCCACCACCACGATCTTGGCTGTGATGGTCTCCATTTTGTTCCAGTTAACAAACTCTATTTTATCTCCGCCTTATCGCGTTATCTCACTCATTGCAACTCACTAAATCATTTCATGCTCGGTACTTCCCGTCTTCTTAGGCGGGTAAATGATAAAGTTCATTCTATTTTCATAGGATAAATATATATTAAATATTTATAAACAATACAATATAAGGTAGACAATTTTTATTTGGCTCTACAATGTTCTATTATTGTCTTCAAATAAGGTTTTTATAATTTGTTGCTTCAACCAAACTTGTAGAATTACAGCTTCGTAAATTTGTAGATGAATACAGACGAAGAAAATTTCAACCTTCCGTCGGTGATGAAACTTGATGATAATAAAAATAATCAAACACTCACTGATCACTTCACACAATCTGAGATAATTTGTTCAATAGTAACAAATGAAGTTCTATACAGAACAAAATAGAACTATGAATAAAACACTGCTCGGTCGTCCGTCATTCAGAGTGAGAAAAACAATCTTCAAATTATCAAAAATCTTTTAATAATAATACATTTCTTGACACGTCCGCTGAGATGCGTTGCAACGCGGCACAGCTGACGACTGAGCACAAGTGTCAGCTGATCGCGTATCTGTGAGGTCACGTGACACATCACACATCTGGTCAGTGCCACTCCAGATGAGCAAGTGGATGGATGTGCGTGGCTCCTGCAAACGCTGCATCATCTGCTTGGTGCATTTCTACCTCTTTTGACCTTGGCTAGCCTCTTGCGTAATGTTGCTTTGTAAACTCTGAATAACTGCATCTTGCTCACAGACGCTGAATAATTCTTTGCATTATGAATTGTTTGAGAACAAAAATTTTCCATGAAATATAGTATGAGGAGTGTTTTTATGATACTAGTTTCATAAAAAATAGTGTTCACAATAAACTGGATAGATTTATTTGGACACAATGTTTTATGCTAGTATGCCACACTTGAATTTTTTCTCATGCTGTTGTAGAAAACGATAAAAGCTCATGTTTAGCGCGATGACTGAAATAGTTTTACCTCTGCTATCAAATTCTGGACTTGCGGTGCAGAAACTCGAGGCTCTCTGTCACGTTGAACATTGCACGCTCTGTTTGACCACATCAACAATGTTTGACGTGAATATCTTTTAATATAATCTTGACATTGAGTCTATTGTGCTTCCAGTTAATCATGTTAATGTGTCATCATTGTCATGGAATGGAGGGAATAGGCTAGACCTGGACAGTGGACTTAACTTGAATGTTTTAGAACTTTTAGGTCAACTTGTAAATTGAAAGGTCCATTGAGCTATGGCAAAATTTATGTCACTTTGAGGCAGACGTTGAGATTTTGTTTTATGAAATTGGATGCACAGAAAATGATATAATAAAACCGAACACAGTTTGTAAAATTTGGATGCGAAATGTCAAATGAAACTCGAGTGAAGGTGGCCATTTTGGCAGCTGGATACGGGACAAGGTGGGTGGCTTGCCAGTGACCTGTTACTAACCTGTCACATACTTACCACTGACCTGTCACTAGCCTGTCACTCACTTTTCCCTAACCTGTCAAAAATTCACCATTGACTATCACTAACATGTCACTCCCTTTCCACTAACATGTCACTCCCTTTCCACTAACCTGTCACAAACTCACCATTGACCTATCACTAACCTGTCACAAACTTACCATTAACCTACCGCTAACCTGTCTCAACCTAGTTAATAATTCGCCACTAACCGGTCTCGCAATAGACCGGTGCTCATTTCTCCGTATTTCTTGCCTATTATTTTCCCTATTATTACCTCCGTATTTCTTACCTATTAAATACCACAGACTGGAGCAGGACCTCGCCTCCCCCAGCAACGTGACCCACCGACACCTCATCGGCACACCCAAGCCTCTGCTGCCGGTGATGGGTGTGCCTCTAATTACCCACTGGATTACTCACTTCGCCAGCCTCACCCACCCCCCCGCCCAGGTTGTGGTAGTTGTTAACGACTTACACTATCACAAGTAAGCGTTCGTCATTAATGTCCTTTAAACTTAAAATTGTTCGTCTATTAAATCCTATAAAAATGGAATTGCTACCAAATAAAAAAAGTAATAGTGTTTTACTTCGCTTGAAATGGGGAATCCTGTGAAATCATTTTATATAATCAATTGTTCGTGTATACCATGGGAAAGTTATCCATGATTTAATTTATTACGGTTCTTATTGTTTTATATTGCGCGTGTAAACTTGGGTATACACACTCCAGTGAGTGCACAACCCACGCGTGGGCAGGTACGAGGCCTGGCAGAGGTCCCTCCCCTCTCCCTCTCCCCCCGTCCTCCTCCTCAACGAGGGGTCCCGACACAACGAGGGGCGCCGCGGCGCTGTCGCCTGCATTAAACTCGTCACCGACACCGACACCGACGCCTGCTGGGTCGTGGTCGGCGGGTGTGTGGGGTGGGGGTGTTGGAGGGAGTGTTGGTTGGCATGGGGGTGGGGGCTGGAGGTGTGGGGCTAGTGATACAGAAGGGTGTGTGATCCTTAAGGCCCTGGTTGAAGGTCGCAAGGCTTCTAACAGGCTTGGCTCTTCCCTATGCGTTTCTTCACTAATTAGGATAGACTTTACTCCACTCGCAAATGAGATGGCGATATGGATTTTTCCATGCTTACCCATCTATTTATTTATAAACGGTGATCAGTAACAAAAAATATGTAAACTTTGTATTAAAACAGTTTTAATGAGAAGAAATTTCAAGCAACTTTGAATATTATTGTTCATCAAGTCTGCGACTTTTTTCGAGATATAAAAGGGTTGTAATTTTTATTCTCCATTGAATGGTATACTCGGCATTCCTTGATCAGCCTCTTTGTTGTAGATATTTTCGACCGAAAAATAGTTATGATCGAGCCTGCTGATACGCGGAGGGAAAATCCCGCATACTAGCTGCTCAAATGGAGGCGTTGTGGAATACATGAGGGGAAAGAGACGTCGTAAATTACTGAACTGTCAATTCACGACAGGTGGCATGGTAAAGGCGAAGTCAATGAGAGGCGAAGAATAATACGTGGCCAGTGGTCGGCCTAGTCCAATTAGTTATAGCCGACCGTTGGCCTTCCTCGGCCACCTGAAAGCGACCAGTGACCGCGAGAAAGGGTCTGGCTAGGATATCATATTACAAAGAGTACAAGCTCGAGGGTAGCAACAGGCTGAGCTTCGGACAGATCAAGGATTTTACACGATGGTCGCGAAAACCTCGCTCTCAGACTTCGCACGGCTTTCAGTCAGGGCCTTAAGGCTCAGATTGAGAACCGTGAGCCTTCGAACAGGCTCTGCTCTTCCATATGAGTTTCTTCGCATATTAGGCTGAACTCCATTCGTAAATGTAAACTCCGTTCGTAATTTACTCCATTCGTAAATGAGATGGCGATATAAAATTTCCCAGGCCTACCCAGTTAATTATTTACAAACGGTGGACAGTAACAAAAAATATGTAAACTTTATATTAAAAGAGTTATAATGAAAGGAAATTTCAAGAAACTTTGAATATTAATGTTCATCGAGTCTGTGACTTTTACACATTTTTCGAGATGTCAACGGGTTGTAATTTTTATTCTCCATTGAATGGTTTACTCGGAATTTCTTGATCAGCATCCTTGTTGTAGCTTTAATCTACCAAAAAACTATTTATGAACAAGCATACTGATACGTGGAGGGAAAAGCCCGTATATTAACTGATTTGAAGAAGGCTTTGTGGAAGGCATGAGGGGAAAGATACGTCGTAAAATACTGAGCTGTCAGTCTACGACGGGTGGCATGGTGAAGGCGACCTCAATGAGGGGCGAAGAATAATACGTGGCCAGTGGTCGGCCAAGTCCAATTAGTTATAACCGACCGTTGGCCATTCCTCGGCCACCTGATAGCCGCTAGTTGCCGCAAAAAAGGGAATTGTTAGGATATCATATCACAAAGACTACAAGCTCGAGGGTAGCGACTAGCCGAGTTTTGGGCAGATCGAGGATGCTCGCGAGAACCTCGCTCTCAGACTTCGCCGCAGTCTGACTACGAGCGAGGTTTTCGCGACCATCGTGTAAAACCCTTGATCTGCCCGAAGCTCGGCCAGTCGCTACCCTCAAGCTTGTACTCTTTGTAATATGATATCCTAGCCAGCCGCTTTCTCGCGGCAACTGGCCGCTTTCAGGTGGCCGAGGAATGGCCAACGGTCGGCTATAACTAATTGGGCTAGGCCGACCACTGGCTACGGAATATTCTCCGCCCCTTATTGAGTTCGCGTTCACCATGCCGCCCGTCGTGAACTGACAGTCGAGTAATTTACGACGTCTCTTTCCCATCAAACATTGCACAACGTCTCCATTTGAGCAGCTAGTAAGCGAGATTTTCCCTCCGCGTATCAGCAGACTAGATCATAACTATTTTTCGGTCGAAAATATCTACAACAAGGAGGCTGATCAAGGAATGCCGAGTATACCATTCAATAGAGAATAAAAATTACAACCCGTTTACATCTCGAAAAAAGTAAAAAAGTCGCAGACTTGATAAACAATAATACTCAAAGTTTCTTGAAATTTCCTCTCATTAAAACTCTTTTAATACAAAGTTTACATATTTTTTGTTACTGGTCGCCGCTTATAAAGAAATAGCTGGGTAAGTATGGAAAAATCCATATCGCCATTCCATTTGCGAGTGGAGTAAAGTCTATCCTAATTAGTGAAGAAACGCATAGGGGAGAGCCGAGCCTGTTCGAAGCCTCTCGGTGTTCAATCAGGGCCTTAAGGTGTAAGTGAGTGTGTAGGCTTGTATGATGCAGATTTGGAGATGTAGGCAGCGAGGATTTACTCCACAGATTTGCAGGCCGTTTGCGGGCAAGACGTAGGAGAGGGTGAAGGCCTGGGGTGTGCAGGTCTGAAAGGAGTGTAGGCATTGAGGCTGCTGGCCTATTGAGTGTGGGTCCGTGGGATTGGATGAGCTGCTCCTGAGGGATAATTATTCTCATTATTATCCTTCTAATATTCCCAAAGACGAGGAAACGAGGTGCATTCAGGAAACGTGAGGTATGGTCAGGACGCGAAGTTTGCCATTTCATATCGATGAGCTGCTGTTGATTTTGTTTCATCTCCTCACGGTTGAAAAAATATTTTAAAATAACGCTCTCAGATGCGTCAACAGAAGACGGCGTTTGAACGGCGTTCTCGCATCGCTATAATCACTGATGCCGACAGGGACACGCTGCTGCATCCTTCCTTCTCTGTTGGTGATATGGTCTCACTGATGGAACAGCTACAGAAACGTCAGCAACAGATGCAACATCAGCAAGGAGAACAATGTCCTGTTAGCATCATAGTCAGCACGTCGGTGCGAGACGAGGATGTTTCTAAGGTGAAGAATTATCTGAAGCACATTTTTTCGATTTATATATTCATTTTTTCACGCTGAAAATAAGAAAGACTGTTTCCTGTACATCATGAACTTATTAAATCAAGTCAAACTTTGACGATATGTAAGATTTTAAAACCTATTAAACTAGGAGGCTGATACAGATAGCGATAACAAGCCGAGTGTGACAGCAGCGTCACATGTTTCGTTCCTGTCTATAAGAACACATTTACTACGTGTCTAGAACACGTTTACTAGGTGTCTAGAACACGTTTACTACGTGTCTAGAACACGTTTACTCTGTTTCTAGAACACGTTTACTCCGTGTCTAGAACATGTTTACTTCGTGTCTAGAACACGTTTACTACGTGTCTCGAACTACGTGTCTATATATAGAACACGTTTACTACGTGTCTAAAACACGTTTACTTGGTGTCTAGAACACGTTTACTGCGTTTCTAGAACGCGTTCACTACATGTCTACTACACGTTTACTAGATGTCTAGCACAAGTTTACTATGTGTTTGAAAGTGTTAGCAAAATTTATTTGCTATGGAAAATTATTGCCTACAGTGAGAATATATGGAAAACGTCCGTTGATGGCGCCCAACTTCATAGTTCGATTCTTTGTTTCCGATATTCATTTCTTTAGCTGGTTTCTAAAAGCACATTACATTTTCAAGAACGTATTCTAATCAAGAGCTTAATTAGAGCGTTTTCCTGTTCGCTTCGCCATGTGTACATTTCTCCTTATAATAGATTTTATACAAGTGGTTAAATGTTAAATTAACTCACTTAAGATCAAGGTTTTGTTTTAGGTCATTCCGAAAACGTATTTTATTGGCAGCTCTATATCTGATTAGTTAAAATTTTTTCTCTGATTAAAATGATTAGTAAGTAAAATTATGAGTAATAAAATAAATTATTATTCATTAAAAAAATTCTAAAATTGATTTAAACTAATGTATGGTGCGGGCAGGGCGGCATTATAGAGGTGGACGGGCAGGGCAAAGTCGTGAGCTTCCTGGAGAAGCCTGAGCCCCACGCAACCCCATCCCGTCTGCAGAGCCCCTGTGTGTACCTCCTGCACCACCTGCACCTACACCTGCTGCAGGTATGAGTGCCTCCTGCACCACCTGCATCTGCACCTGCTGCAGGTATGAATGCCTCCTGCACCACCTGCACCTACACCTGCTGCAGGTATTAGTGCCTCCTGCACCACCTGCACCTACACCTGCTGCAGGTATGAATGCCTCCTGCACCACCTGCACCTACACCTGCTGCAGGTATTAGTGCCTCCTGCACCACCTGCACCTACACCTGCTGCAGGTATGAATGCCTCCTGCACCACCTGCACCTACACCTGCTGCAGGTATTAGTGCCTCCTGCACCACCTGCACCTACACCTGCTGCAGGTATGAATGCCTCCTGCACCACCTGCACCTACACCTGCTGCAGGTATTAGTGCCTCCTGCACCACCTGCACCTACACCTGCTGCAGGTATGAATGCCTCCTGCACCACCTGCACCTACACCTGCTGCAGGTATTAGTGCCTCCTGCACCACCTGCACCTACACCTGCTGCAGGTATGAATGCCTCCTGCACCACCTGCACCTACACCTGCTGCAGGTATTAGTGCCTCCTGCACCACCTGCACCTACACCTGCTGCAGGTATGAATGCCTCCTGCACCACCTGCACCTACACCTGCTGCAGGTATTAGTGCCTCCTGCACCACCTGCACCTACACCTGCTGCAGGTATGAATGCCTCCTGCACCACCTGCACCTACACCTGCTGCAGGTATTAGTGCCTCCTGCACCACCTGCACCTACACCTGCTGCAGGTATGAATGCCTCCTGCACCACCTGCACCTACACCTGCTGCAGGTATTNAAATTTGGTGGAGTAGATCACTCCGATTCACCCAACTTTAAAAGATATGAGACGATAGGAAACGTCTCTCACCATATATATATAGATTTTTTTTTAAATCCCCAATTTAATCACACCACTCGTGTTGTTGTTGTTAGTTGCCCGGGACCGCTGCTCGGAAGCGCCCCCGCAGAGGCGGCGGCTCCGGGGGAGGGGGAGGGAGCAGTTGTTGCACTCCGAGGATGTCGGAGAAGGATGGGAGCGAGGAGAGGAAGGCCGCAGTCGGTCCAGGGTTAGACCAGAGGTCCAGTGGAGTCAGCGAGGTGGGGTGCGATGGGCAGCTGAAGAGGTGATGGGTGGTGTGGTCCATGGTGCCGCACTCAGGGCAGAGATGGCTATTTGCTGCACCAATGCGGGCAAGGTATGAGTTGAGCCGCGATGAGTAGCTGTAGCGGAGCTGGGAAAGGGCGCTTCTGGCCGCCCTGGGGAGGGAAAGCTCGCTGGACGAGACGGAGGGGGCAGGAGTCAACAACACATTGTTAGGAGCTTCTGATGCCAGGTAAGAGGAGACAGCAGAGCTGTGCAGAGTCCTGAGGACGGAGTGGGGGGGGGGGGTGCACCCTCCTCTAGCAGGTGAGAGACCGAAGGGAGGAAGCAAGTCAGAAGCGTGTGCTACATGGGACGGGGCCCCGATGTCTGGGTGACGATAGGGTAGCTGGGATGGTGCGGTCGTAGGGCACTGGCAAGGTATTGTGAGCAGAGCAGAGAGAGGTGTTCAGCCACGGGTAGGACCTGAGCTTCGCTGTGCAGATGAGAAGCGGAGGCCATTTGGAGAGATCCTGTGGCTATGCGGAGGGCTGAGTTCTGAATAGTTTGCAACTTTGAGATGGACGAAGGAGAGGCGTTGGGGAACCACACTGGGGCAGTGTAGTTGAAGAGGGACTTAATAAGGGCCTTGAAAGTCACCAAGAGGGTTTCCTTCTGCTGGCCCCAGCTGGTTCCGGCAAGAGACTTGAGGATGTTGAGGCGCGGGCGGGTTCGCTGACATATCGCAGCGATATGTGGCGAGAAGGTGAAGTGGGGGTCATAAGTGACCCGAGGAGCTTCGGGGTCCGACAAAGTGGTAAGTCGGACCCCTCACAGCTGACAAGAGGGTCTGTTTGTGATTGATGGGTATCGTAGGTGAAGAGGGTGGTGTGGAATTTGGGAATGGATACAGATAACTCCTTCCAACGAGCCCACGCAGCCACGTCGGAAGCGTGGGAGGAGAGGACTGCAGACGCGGCTTCCATCTGAACGGCCCCCGCAGCGGCAGTGAAGTCGTCCGCATACGAGGTGATTAGGGGGGCGGACTGGGGAAAGTCTGAAACATAGGAATTGAAGAGAACGGGCGAGATGACGGATCCTTGTGGGACTCCAGCGTGGACCGGCCGTGGAGAGGAGATGCAGTTGTTGTAGGAGCACCTGGCTGACTTGCCTCTGAATGTAGCAGATCAGCCAGCGGGTGATATTGGCGTGGAGGGGAATGGTGGCGATGTGAGAGATGAGCTGAGCATGAGGCACGGTGTCAAAAGCCTTGCTGAAGTCTATTGCCATTGCTATTGTCCTGGTTGGTGGGCGAGGCTGGTTGAAGCCTGTAGCTATGGCCTGGGTTAGAGGAAGTAGGGCAGATGTTGTGGGGTGGAGAGGGCCGAAACCGTGCTGGGAGTCCACCAGTGGAAGCGCTGCATTAAGGTACTGGAATCCTCTGGGTCCCAGGTGACGGAGATGGAGGATAGAGAGGGAGTCTGGGCCAGTGGCAGTGGAGGTACCCGAGCTCCATACCGCCTGTCTGTTCTGATCCGGAGTGAACACAGGGTGTGTGTTGGAGAGGGGATTACGGCGCTTGATGCCTTTGTAGGTGGACCTGCAGGAAGGTTCACGCTGGTAGTGGGGAACCAGCGTGAATTGGCGGCAGAAGGATGAGGCTATGATATGGTCTGCGGTGACATGAGAATTATTGAAGGAAATGGGTTGGTTAGGGGCTTGTCTGGTTGACTTGTCGGAGAGGGAGCGTAAGAGCGACCAGAATTTGGATGGATTTCTCTGCAGGTTGGATGACTGGACCTTCTTGATCCAGGCTGTGCGGGAGTGTGTGGTGATGGCTGCTGAGATGTTGTTGTTGAGGTCCGGCAGGCTGGGGTGGTTGGGGTTCAAGGCACGGGTCCTGTTGCGCTCTTGAATGAGAGGAATGGCTGATGGTGGAAGATTGGGAATGAAATCCCTTCTACAACGGCGAGGGATATGACGGCGAACCGCCGAAGTGAGAACTCTCCTAAAGAAGACCTCTCCCTGGGAGCAAGAGGAAGGGAGAGCTGCAGCCATAAAAGTATTATTACGACAAGTATTACGCCTTTGTATCGGCGGCGTAACCGTCCCAATCTGCACGACGGAGGTTGATGTAGGTGCGGGAAGGACGGTTATTGGGAGAGTTCATGGAGTCAATGGAGATGGAAATGGGAAGGTGGTTGGAGTTGAGGCAGGCCAGTGGGGTCCAGACAGCGTCATGGGCCAGATGGGGACTGATAAGGGTGAGGTCGGGAGATGATGGGGCTCCTTGTGACGGGAGCCTGGTGGGGGTGTCTTGATTGAGTAGGACTAACTGACTTGAGTCTATTTGGTTGAGTAAGGCTGTGCCACGGGCGGTCGCGCGGTCATCCTGAGTGGCGGAGAACCACGTGTCCCTATCCACTCCTGTCATCACCACTCCTGTCATCACCACTCCTGTCATCACCACTCCTGTCATCACCACTCGTGTCATCACCACTCGTGTCATCACCACTCGTATCATTACCACTCGTGTCATCACCCCTCCTGTCATCACCACTCGTAGTGTCATCACCACTCGTGTCACCACCACTCGTGTCATCACCACTCGTGTCATCACCACTCGTGTCACCACCACAATTTCCAGTCATCACTCAAGATTGTCTTGCGCTCCACCCAAAAAACTCAATTATTCGCAGTCTTCACATTTTCCCGGAATATTTTTTTCCTGTCAGGAATTTTTGGACGCGAAGGCGAAATTATTGACATTTCTCAGCTCGGTATAGCCATATAACTCATGAATGAAGACAAAATCGAAAATTTTTACACGAGCTAAACATGACCGTTGGGTATTCATAAATTTGTATTCGAAATTTCATTCAAATCTGTTCAGTATTTTCGAAGAAATTTCGCGCTCACTGCGAATTTATGCACGTTTAGCTGTTTAAATGTAAGCAGTTTTCTCTGTATTGCCATATAACTCACGAACGAATAAGGTATCAATATACGAAGTTTCGTTCGAATTTGTTTAGTATTTTAGAAGAAATCGTACGCTCACTGTGAATTTCAACACATATCGCTGTTAAAATCACGAATGAGACAAAAGTGAAAAATACTCGCGAACGAAGGCAAAAGTGAAAAAAATATCAAGAGCTAAACATCACCGTCGGGTATTGTGAAATTTATATTCAAAATTTAATTCAAATCTGTACAGTACTTTAGAAGAAATGTCACGCTCACTGCAATTTTCACCACGTATATTCATATAACTCAGGAATGAAGGCGATTTTTGAAAAATTGTCACGAGCTAAACATCACCGTTAGGCTCTAATGATTATGTGTACCAAGTTTCATCAAGCTACGTTCAGTATTTTGCGAGATATTCCACGCTCACTGAATTTGGAATCACGGCCGCGAGACCGGCCGTGAGAGAGGCCGCGTTTTTGTCCGAGACGTCCGCTTGGTGAAATTATATTGACTTCATCAAATTTTGATGATAAAAAGAAGCGAAACGAGAGTGTTAGCATATACGTGGACGATTCCGATAGAAATTATAACCGTGAAACAAATGGCCATTGGATACGGTATTTACATCGTATCGCATAACATATCCATTATTTAAAACGTTGTTTATAACATTAACCTTCTAATATTGCCCACTAATTATATTCAAATTGAGGGCAATTAACAGTGATCTGAAATATCAAGATCATGATCGAGATTTCTTAGAAAATTGCTATTTCTAATCTTAATTTCTTGCTGTCAGGCATTCCTGCAATGAAGGTATCATTAATATTCGTATCCGGCGAACAAAACAGCCAGCGTTTCAAATGGATCATACTTTACGCAGAAAGGTTATGCATAATGGTAATCCCTTCATTCTTCAGGTGTTCGGAAAGAGTTATTAAAAATCAATATAGCTCAGTTATAACAGAGTTGAATCTTTCTGATTTTTGAGAATGTTATGTGTATTCGCAAATTACAAACAACGAAGACAATAATTTTACGAAAAACGAAGTTGATCACATACATAACGCAGGTTAGCATTAAAAACAGTGAATACAATGATATTATTTCATTTAAAGGCTGGCAATAAAAACAAAGAGCACGATCAAATTTCAAATACCTCGCTAACATTGCAAAGGAAGACAATTCCTTCATACCAGGCTGCTATTTCAAATCGTGTTGAAATTCCGTTACGATGATAATGCAATCATGTGAGCCCACATGTGAACAAATATTTCACAACACTTCTGATGACCAATGTCAGGGATTGACTAAAAAAACAAGGTTTCAAAATAAGCCTTAACCTGAGGTACATATGGAAGTACATTTTTTTGAACCCGTATAACGCTTTTATAAGTTCGCCGACCGAAGGCCTACTTATCGTATTAACTTGGCATTCTACGCGACCAATTTACCTTCTAAATTCTTACAAAAGTTTCCTATGGCTTTAACATTTGATTTTCCTCTAGATGTATTCTAGAAACAAATCTATGCACAGTCCCGGTTTTGCTAATTAGATGTTCTTCGTTGTAGCATGAAAAATGTTAGTTTTCCGCTAGATTCTCTGGTAACGCCATCATCGATCGTTGCGTCTTTTTGCCGTAATTTGTTCGAATTTGAATGAAATCCATTCGATATTTATGGATTTATGGCCGGCAGAGTTGAAAATGAAGTTAGGTTTTCCGTATCAATAAAAAATTAATTGATGTAAAAATCTGAAATAACTCCGTCCACAAATTTTTAATAATATCTACTTGATTTTCAAATTTGAATGAAATCCGTTAGGTATTTATGGATTTATGGCTGGCAGAGTTGAAAATGAAGTTAGGTTTTTCGCATTAATAAAAAGTAATTGACGTAAAAATCTGAAATAAATCCGTCAACAAATTATTGATAATATCCACTTAATTTTCAAATTTGAATGAAATCCGTTCAAATTTGAATGAAAAAAAAAGTATTACCACCCCCATTTATAGATTTATGGCTGGCAGAGTTGAACGTGAAGTTTGGTTTTGCAATCGAGTGCGCAGGCGAGTTCGCAAGATAGTTCGCTTAGGTACTGCGAAGGCGAGTTCGCAAGCGAGTTCGAGTGCGCAGGCGAGGCAAATTCGCAAGCGAGTTCGCTTAGGTCAATTAGGTACTGATCTTCTAGATCCGGATCCCTTGTGCCCTTGTGAATAAAATCACGAAAAGTACATAAATCGGCAACCGGCAATGGGGCTTTTTCTTCAGTGCCGAAGCGTCTATTCCAATCTATTCTAAGGACTACTAAAGTAACATATCGGGAAATATTCTGGAACAATAAATCATCATTGTAATAATTCAAAAATGTGTGGAAAAACATGACTAAGTGAATTAAATTTCATTAAAATAATCATCTAAAAACAAAATGTTGTTATTTCATCATTAAAACGGGAAATGATTAGTAAATGGTAAATATTCTCATATGTAATTTAGTTGTTTATCCAAAGTTTAGGGGTTCGAAGTTTAGTCCGGTTCCAAAGTTTAGTTATTGACATTATGAAGCAGAGTGAGGGCTAGGGAGTAGGGAGTAGGTGCGTTGTGGCTCACTCACTCACTTTGGAGAAAGTCAGTTGCGTTCGTTGTGTAAGCACGTGTGCCATTTTGCGCTCTCTGATTGATTTACTGATAAAAGTTCTCTTAGAGTTAATTTTTGAAGGATTTTCTAGACCAAAGTCATTAAGTAAGTAGTAACACGACTGGCTTTCTCCCACAAGGGTTTGTCAGTCATTCGTTTTTTTNTTTCCGCACAAGACTGGAAGGCCTGTCTCTTCCCTGGGATCTTACCACGGCTCTTGGTGGTGGGGACATCCCAGCGAGAAGCCGCACTACTGTCATTCGACATCTTGGTCATTACTTGCTGAACTGCAATATGGTGGCCAGGTTGTGAATGTTCATCTGAAACTAATTTTACTCTTCTTTCAACAATGTACTGCCACATTGCTCTGGTGAAATATGTGGAAGTGATGCATTCAAACGCAAAGAGGCAAGAATAGAAAATAAGTCTGGAGTGAAGTGACTCAAATCAAAATTAAATTGGTGCTCAGGCTGGGAGGTGTGTTTTCTACATACCCGAAGCCTAATAATTCAATTAAAAAAAAAAAACTCACTTGTGGGCGGGAACGCAGCCGTGCGGCGCGGCCCAACAAATTCGTGCTCCAATCAGCCCTGAAAGGAACACCTAGCATAATTCCAGTTGACACTTGACCGGAAGTTGACCCCCTATGAACCACCGACTAAGCCATCCGTCAGTAACCAGCCTCCATGAAATCATCTTGATTTAAGCCTTACTGCTACTGCCTTAGGTGCTCTATGCCACCTGTTCCAAGCAGCCACCATTTTCTCATTATTTTGAACTCTGAAGTGATTGTGGATTCACCGCATATTCCACTAATTCCAGGACTGGCTAAAATCAATTTTTAAAATCCATCATCCATGCCCTGGAAACTTTTTTTTTGAGCCAAAAACTCATATGCTTGGAAATTGGAATCTTTTTGATTGTATTTGTATGCGGTACTCCCCACCCCAGGAACTACACTTGCTAGTTGCTACAGCACTACAGCAGTCAATATGGCTTCCGCATGATTGCATGATTTTGCATCGCAATTAATTTCACAATTTGCAGCATAGTGGCAAAGCAGAGAATTTTTTAGACTCTCCAGTCTCTCCCTCAAGTTCATGTTTGAGTCCTATAAGTAGACCAGTAAAGTAGTTAAGTAGGTATCCTGGATACCAACATAGGCAACATTATCATACATAAGAAATTGGTTTAAATCTTGGTTAAATAAGGAAATTAGAAATGAACTGATTCTAAAAAATCTCTGGTGTGTCACTATGATTTGCAGATTGTGCTACAGCTGTACAGTCTCATCCAACAAACTGGAAAACATATACTATTAGTGTTAGATGACAGTTTTTTCTTGTTCTATATATACTAATAGTGTGCTTATCCTGATAGGGTTATTAGAGGTTGACTGACTCCTTTCTTCAACTGTTTAATGAAAGGAGTTGGACATAATTTCATCATTATAATTAATGAAAAATAGTTTTATATGTCTATTGTCTATATAAAATATGTCTAGACCCATGGTCAGAAAGATGTGCCAGGTGCGCAGGAATTCATATATTGATTCTCTCAATACACGCCCTGCGCTGTTCTATGCTCTCAAACAAAAGGCGCCGTGCTACTAATATAGTTTGAGAATGGATGCGCACAATTCAACATCAGGCTTCGTCAGCAGCAGTATGACAGCAGCAGCATCCATGGATGATGGATGCAGCATTAGCCGCCTCTGACCCACATCCGTCATCCTTTCAAGACGCGGGACACTAATGACTTGTGAAGAGCTGCGGCTAGCTTTACAAGCTTGTCCTGCGGTTAAAATTAAAACAAGTGACCCATGATGCTTAAAAAATGCGTCAAGCCACAAATATTAGACATTGGTCATTGGGATAACAAGCAAGAAAACACTACATGACAAAAATTGACCTGGATATCTGTAATTTCTCTAGTGCATCAGTAGACTGGGCCTTCAGGCTCCAGCTTCATGGGATTCAACCAACCACCCATTGAGCAGCGGCACGTTCAAATAACTGCCACCTGGGTGGATAGAATGGTGGCACGCTGCCAGGGAAGGGTGGTCTTCAACCCGAAAACCTGAAGACCTGTATTTAAAAAAAAATAAAATTGGCAGTTTTGTAGGAATGTTATTTATATGCATCACAAAAGAATGGTTAGGATTTAATCCTGGAAATTCCA